GTTTTTTCCTTGATAAAAGTAACATTTTGAATAGGTTAAAATTGCCGTTAAAACATTGAGTTTATTCTGCTTTAAAGAAGGACCGGTAAGTAAAGTGCTAGAAGTTGCCAGCCTTAGTTCACGATTTGTGTTCGATGCATCAACTCCAATAAAATCAATAAATCAATCATTGACTTTTTTTAGTGGAGGGCGTTCTCTCCTCCTGCATTATTTCGCAGTCACCGCCTACAGAGATTGTGAACACCACTACCACCACCTCCACAATCACGGATTCTAACGGTCGAGTAAAGAAGCTCAAAACCACGACCACCACGACCTTACGAACCACAACCACAGTTCGAAGGGTCTGTGTGGTAGCCCCAGGAGGGACGGTCCCGGGAGCTGCCGTTCCAGAAGGCAGCATCATACTTCCGGAAGGCACAAAGGTGTTTGCTGAAACTCCAGCACTTCCGAGCTTGGCTGAGGAGGATGCTCTGCAAACCAATGGAGGCTCGGGGGTGGTTCGCTTGACGCACGTGTCCGGAGGTGAGGGCAATTCTACCCAGCCGAGGAACATAACCCAGGTCACCTTTATGAAACCTCAAACGCAGACATCAGAAGTGGTTGAGGTAAGTTTTTTCAGCTCTTCTAAGAAGTGAGTTAATTCCATATTAAGGATAACAATGTCAAGAGTGTTAAAGGCAGCTATACTTTAAAAGCCGCACCCTACTCAACGGAAACTGACAGATTAATGGATCAATTTATAGGAGGCAAATGATTTCATTCCGTGTAGAGCGAAACCTTTTTCATCTCACAGATTGTTCATGATTTACCAAAACAACGGAAAGAAGGGAAGAGTTTGTTTTGACGTTTCGATGAGTCAAGCCATTACAGCTGCATCCACTCGCAGAGGGAGCATCATCATTGAACTCAAAGTCAGCGTGGATTTGGCCCTGCAAAATGAAGTTTTTTAAAAGCCGTAAAATCTTCAACAAATGAGTGGATTTGTTTTCGGTATACAGATGGTATACGTTTATGAAGCAAATGGTCAAACTTGTCAAATTGACATAGTATTGGGTTTTCGTGCCGTTCTGAAGGCATAAGAATTGTCGAAGCACTTCAACCATTGGGAACATTTCGTTTCCTCATGGCAACTTTGAAGGATGAAGTTGAGATAGGCATAAAACTTGCAAGCAATTATTTTGGCTTGCCTTTTTTTAAAAATAAATGAAAATAAACCCCTTCGAGTCTGATATTTGAAACCTTTGTGGGGGTGTAGTAAGTCGGTATTTCGTTTCACCGTGTCTTGAATTGCGTGGGTGTAGCAGTGTCTGCAAGGCGTACTGCCGCCGCTCAGTGGCATGGCCTTTGGGCCTTTGCGAGTTATTAATACATCGTCCTCCCAAGCCTCTTTGGCTTCTTACGAATGCAGTGAAGGTTGGCTTTTGTGGAGAAATGGCTACCCGAAAGTCTTCCCACTTTGGCCATTCATGTGAGGGCAACATTTGCTTCTACTTTCGAATTTTATTTTTACCCATACAGATGGTTCAGATAGTCGAGTTGTTTACGAATCACGTTAGCGA